TGGCATGTATTTATGACTGTTGTATTGTCCCAAGATCACTTTTGTGACCTTCTGACAAACAAAGCCAGGCTCGCTTAACAATTATATTACTAACTTAAGAATTGCAATGATTCACTTAACAACTGTGGCAAGAAAGGTCATAAAATGGAGCAAAACTAACTTAGCAACTGTCTTGCTTAACAATAGAAATTGTGCTCATGAGTTGTGGGCTACCTGAACTTGCTTCCAAGGAAGATGACCTTAATTTTAAGACTCACCCAAAGAAATATATAGAAGGAAAATGAATATAAACAGAAATCTGTGCCATGTCCAGCTTACGATTTTAACTCTTTCAACTGTTCAATTGTCAGTTGAAATAAATGTATAAATGTTCAAAATAAATGTTGTATAGCAACCATCAATTGATATAAAATTGCTGAGAATTTAAGCAGCAAACTCTCCATATATTTGTGAATGTGGAGTTTATAAATGTTAGTTAGTACCTTAATGTGAGATACAGTCTACCTACACAGATATAGGTAGACTATACCTAAATATGTTTTATAAATATAATTTATAAGAAGGCCCTGAGAAATACGGAAATCAAGAAAATTGATGGAATCAACTTCCATAATAATTCTGTCAGAAATGCTTATGAGCAACAGAAAAAAAGTCCTTCCTTATTAGAAACCAACTAATATATTAGGAAATGCACGCACTACTAAAAAAATAGCAGTAAAAGCTATTAAGAACTAACAACATTACTTCAGATGCCTAGTATGCAGCTTTCTCTTGGAGTAAGAAGTCTCAGTCTCTAATAAAAGATTACAGTGCTCTGAAAATGAGGGCTAATGTGAAAGAAACTGCAAAGTGATTCAGAGCACAGCTGTTCTGAAGAAAGTAGGAGGATTCAAATTAACTATCCTACAGGATTCCAGTGTATTTCTTGGACTGCTGTATCAAGAACTGACCAGTGCCGATTAAAATTTCTGAATGCAGAAATTATTTTGAACATTTATACATTTATTTCAACTGACAATTGAACAGTTGACAGAGTTAAAATCATAATACTGTCAAAGTGAAGTTATCATTGTGAGGCCAAAAAGGAACCATAGTCTTTTTATTAATAAAATGATAGGAAGTAATTTTCTAATGCTGTTGACATAAAAGAGTTGAGTGTAACCTTGGAAAATAGAATGGGTGATTATTATAGAATTAGAACTATAGGCTCTTATAAAAGTACAAAAATTGGGAGAAAAACTTGCGACCAAATTATTCAGTACCTAGTTTTTTCATATTCAAAACCAAAAAGCATTCTATGAAGCCAAAATGGCTTTAAAGCCAAAATGTTACGCAATTCTCTGGAGCATTCAGATTAGTCAATAATTCTTGAAGAGGAGTTGGCTGTCACAAGGATTCCTGTGGGAACCCAGCGTCAAATCTAACCTCAGCCATGGAAACTTTGTTAGGTGACTTTGGGTCTATCAATTTCAACTCAGTACAGGTAGTCTTCGACTTATATCAGTTTGTTTAGTGACCATTCAGAATTACTAATAGCATTGATAAAAGTGACTTATGACCAGTTTTCACACTTACAACTGTTGTAGCATCCCCATGATCACGTGATCAAAATTCGGATGCTTGGCAACTGGCATGTATTTATGACGGTTGTAGTGTCCCTGGGTCACGTGATCCCCTTCTATGACCTTCTGTCAAGCAAAGTCAACGGGGAAGCCAGATTCACTTAACAACAGTTTGACTAATTTACCAGCCACAGTGCTTCACTTAACAACTGTAGCAAGAAAGGTTGTAAAACTGGCAAACTAATGTTTCACTTAGCAACAAATTTTGGGCTCACTTGTGGTCGTAAGTCAAGGACTATCTGTATATATCATGGGGTTGGGTGATTTTTTTTTAAAAAAAGTAAATTGCTTTGAGTTCCTGAAGGAAATGTAGAATTAAATGCTTGGGATTCTTTTAAATATAATAATAATAATAATAATAATAATAATAATAATAATAATAGTAGTAGTAGTAGTAGTAGTAGTAGTAGTAGTAGTAGTAGTAGTAGTAGTAGTAGTAGTAGTAGTAGTATAAAGTTGGAAGGGACCGTGGAGGTCATCTAGTCCAACCCCCTGCTCAGGAAGGAAACCCTATACAGACAAATGACTGTCCAGTCTCTTCTTAAAAACCTCCAGTGTTGGAGCATTCACTGCTTCTGGAGGCAGGTTGGTCCACTGGTTAATTGTTCTAACTGTCAGGAAGTTTCTCCTTAGTTCTAGGTTGCTTCTCTCTTTGGTTAGTTTCCACCCGTTGCTTCTTGTCCTGCCTTCAGGCACTTTGGAGAATAGCTTGACTCCCTCTTCTGTGTGGCAGCTCCTGAGATATTGGAACACTGCTATCATGTCCCCCCTCGTCCTTCTCTTCATTAAACTAGACATATCCAATTCCAGCAACCGTTCCTCATATGTTTTAGCCTCGAGTCCCCTAATCATCTTTGTTGCTCTTCTCTGTACTCTTTTTAGAGTCTCAGCATCTTTTTTACATCGTGGTGACCAAAACTGGATGCAGTTTTGTTGTTAAGTAATATATTGTTACGTAATATGGACAATACAGTTCATTGGGTCTCCAGTGGAGCCATCCAGCAGTTTAAGATTTTTTTAAAAGCTCTGTTTCAAGTCACAAGTAATAACTCTTGGTTTTCTCTTCATTTTTCTGTCTTCCTTACTCCTGTTTAACTTATTCTTCCCCCAAATGCTTTCATTTAGTTTTACTGCTGCTTCTAAATTTTAACTCTACCAGTAGGCTGATATTTAGCAACAGAGCTAAAAATATATTTGAATTACAGTAGATACCAGCTTTTAGAATAGTTCAGGAGAAGCATTTATATTAGTCCTTCTGTGCCTTTATTGAAGAAGCCGTCTGTTACACAAATAGTTCTTAGCAACCTCTTCGTGTCCTTCAGACTGGTTGCTAATTACAGCTATGTTTCCACAGCCAAGAGTAATTTAACCCTATAGTATCAGTTTTCTCTATTTTATATACCTGTATAGCTATAACACAGTGTTTGCTTCTTCCTTAAACTGTTGTGAAACACATGGCTAGTTACAATTATAATATGACTATAATTTTTATTTGTGCAGCATTCAATGTACGGTGTTCAGGAAAGCAGCATCAAAATGAGACTTTGTTTTGCAGCATTTCTTGTACCATCTCCTTCCCCCAGGGAACCAACAATAGCACCTGGATTCCTGAGGATGAAGTACTTCGTTTGGCTTTCTGAACTGTAATTGTTGTGCCAATGTTGCATTGTTAGTGTGCTTTTATTTTTCTTACTTTGAAGTAATAAATATGCCTGGGAAGCTTTCATCTCATATATTTGGAGATTCTGGGATTGTGTGTTTCCTATTGATTCTTACACTGATCTTGGTTGATCAGTGGTATGTTTTCTATTATATAATAGTGTTTGAATTGTGATATTTCTGAGCTCAGGTGCTTACAGAGCTATAAAGAAAACATTGCAGGCTTTGTAGAAAAATTAGCAATTTGAATTTGTTTTTGTTTTTCTTTCTGAAGTAACATTAACATATATCTTTAGGCAAACAACAGTATGGTTGGTTTGTATCTTTGGAACATTAGGAGTGTTATGCCTTATGCAACATGCAAGATTATTGTTATGGCTGTGAACCTACTGAGCAGGTGTTGGCACAGCCTTCAGGGAATATAAATAAGAGAAATTTGGACTACTATTGTATATTACACAGAGAATTGTGATACACAATGAAGTGTATCACACAATGAATAATAATACAATGATAATACAATAATACAATAATAATACAATAATACAATGAATTGTATTACACAATGAAGTAACATACTAGAAGAAGGTTTTTGAGATTTTACATCAATAGACTCTTATCTAAGACATCTGTGATATTTGATTCTGGTCAGACTTCATTTGCAGGAAAGATACACTGATAATGCCTTAAAAGATGATATACTGTTATCAAACCAGCTTATAGATGAAGGTAAACAGGGTTAATTCTGGTGAGTATGTTGAAATAGGGGTACCTAGGTACTCCAGAAAAGTATCCTGGAAGAATGCAGTCACTAAGAATCAAACTCATCTTAATGGCAACTTGATCTTTGTATTAAGAAAAGAGAATTGTTGGTCACGCTGGATGCATTTCCAGCAACGTATCTCCTTCATATAGCTTGACAGACTTCAGTAGTTCTAGTTGTAAGTAAATTTACATGAACTCTCTCACAATTTTCCTACTTCTGCTAATCAACAAGAATCTAGTAATATTTCAAGATGAAAAATGGAAATGAAAATAAATTTGTTATAATATTAAGCGGCAAACACCTTTAAGCATCCAAAATAACTTAATTTCTACTTTTCTCTTAAGTATGATGCAGTCCCTCCTTCAAATCTCCATAGGGAATGAAATCCAAACCAAAGTCTCTAGAGCATGGATGTCCAAGTTGTTGGCTTACTTTGGCAACATTGAGTGAAGAGGAATTGTCCTGGGCCACATTTAAAATATATAATATAGTTATTGTATGTAAATCACACAGTAATGTTAAACAGTTACAATTTAGTGGGCTGCCTTACTAGCTGTCCGGGGCTGCATGTGACTGTGGGCTGTGCACACATGCTCTAGAGCAGAGGTAGGCAACCTTGGCTCTTTTATGACTCGTGGACGTCAATTCCCAGAATTCCTGAGCCTGCCATGCTGGCTCAGGAATTCTGGGAGTTGAAGTCCACGAGACATAAAAGAGCCAAGGTTGCCTACCCCTGTCTAGAGGATCAACTCCATAAGGGTTATATTATCTGTTCCCTTGTATACCTTATTGGGAAATTATAACCATTAAATTTAACATGCAATAAGATTGTGAGGAATATGGTGTCCAGAAACAAGTTTCTAGCTCTCTTGGAAGAAAATGAAAGGGCTATTTGTTGAATAATGTCAGCAACAGGAGCAGGGACTAAAATGTATTTGCAATTGTCTTTACAGCGTGTCTTCAATGACCTCAGTGGCTCAGTGTCCCTTTCCTGGATTGGAGATAGCACTGGAGTAAGTAATACTTGGTTGAACAGATATTTTAAGTATTCAGAAAAAGCAAAAGTATAATATATGAAATAATTCCAGGCCGTGACTTGGTTTTGTACTTTCAAATAAAGAAGCTTTTGCCTTAGCCTTCCCAAATAAAAAAGAATTATAGTATTTTTGCCTGGTAGGTGATAAGATGTTATTCTCTACAGCTGCAAGCTATTCTGGTTCTTCTTTTAAATATTGCCATCTTACTCATGAACAAAGAACTCTTGTGGGTGTTTTGTTGTGTAAATGAAGTGACTCACAGGTTTGGTAAGTAACATCTATCTACTCATTCAGGGTTGCAGTGATAATTGCTTCAGTGATGAAGCCTTGTTGATGTGAAGAAAAAACCACACATTTCTTAATATCCTACACAGAGCTGTTGCTTGTTCATCTCATGCTGAAAGAGAATGGTGCAATTTCAGAGCATTTTTTTATATGTATAATTTTCAGCCAATTCTTAGACACAATTAAGATTATCCATTGTACAGTGTAGGGCAGGTGACAGTAGCAGGACGGAATGGGACAACTCACCATAACCAACTTGCCACGGCCAATTCACCATGACCAACTCATAGTGGGACAACTCGCTGCAAGACAATTTAACAATTCAATTTAATTATTTAAAATAAATAAAAAATATTTTAATTTTTGCCATTCACATTTCATTCTGCCCCTCCTTTTGCATCCTTTCTTTAATCATTCTATTCCACCATTTCTTTGATGTTAATGTAACTCTTGCTCTGCAGCAAGTTGTCCCACGATGAGTTGGCCATGGTGAGTTGCCCCATGACGAGTTGGCCACTGCAAGTTGGCCATGGGGAGTTGTCATAGACCCGTAGCAGAAAGGGCCATATAAATTGTCAGCTGACTCCATGGATAGTTGGATTTAATCAAGCATATTGGGAGAAGAATTAGGAGAAATCATATATGTTTTTCCAGTTCTTCCTTTTAAACCAGGAAGAGATGTTTGGGAGGTGCCCAGCAGCAGATGATATAGTTTTGCCAACTTCCTTTTCTCTCTTTCAAAAATAATGGAATCTTAAATCGACTTATTTCTGTCTGCTTCTCATACTCCTTTATTTAAAATACTAATAACATCAGTAACTTGGCCAATTTTCATCTCAAAATAAGGTGAGTAGAGTTAAACCTGATTAATATTTAGATAAGAAACTCCCCCCCCTCCTCCCCCAGCCAATAATTCTGGAAGAATACAGTGGCAAGTCATCTTGTGCCAGTGAAATGTATGGCCATGGCCATGTAGTCACTGGGAGCTGAACTCAGCCCATTGGAATTGGATGACTAATAAATAAACAAACACTAATCTGATGGAATCTTTCTCTTCACTTTCAATAAGTCTAATGTTCATTCAGGACTTTCACTGATGCTCAGCATAAGAGAACAGACCCATTTCTGGTATTACTGAAAAGCAGACACTTCCAATTCATGATGTGTTAAGATTGGAAATATGTTTTGGGGAGGAGGGAACAAAATACCAAATTCTAAACATAATTATTAATGTCTTAGGCTAATGAGTATACAATCCAGGTATTTACACAGTTTCAATAATCAAAGGGCAAGTGGACATTCCAGAATGAAGGTGCACAGTTTAAATTTTTTTATACTTGGCCAAATGAATGATCATATATTAGCTCTGATTCATAGCTCTATCAAAGCTATCTAAATATTTTTTAAAGTATGACTCTACTGACAGTTTAAGTTCCTCTTTTGATTAAAGATTTGTATTTCTAGTGAGTAACTAGAAATAAGGGGAAAATTAGTTCCTATTGTGATATCGTACACTGAATAACTTAATATACTATAGCACAATTTAGAGTCTAATAATAGCTACTCTGCAAAGTTCTATCTAAGGAATTAGCTTAGGTGACACGTTATGAAGGTTTAAATAAATTATTCTTCCTCCAGCAAAGAAAAGGAGAAATAGGGTGATGGTTTATGATAGGAACTTAAGCATTAGATAACTGTAATAACAAGGGTAGAATATTTTTTCATAAGATTATTTAATATAATAGAAAATTGTAATGTGTAACACCTAATTTTTGAAATGAACATGCAATAATTTCTAGGGAATTATTCAGCTAGCTGCATTAATTTTTATTTGATTGATCTACCTTTTGAATAGTTGTATTGTATGAGTATGCTGAAATGTGGCTGAAGCCAGTTGAGCCTGACAGAAACCAATTGTTAGCCAGAACCCTTTAAAATAGACAAGGTTGTTTTCTTGGACTATCTGAGCTAAATAACTTTTCCACTTTCTGTTTCCAGGTTATTCTTGTGTTGACTACTTTCCAGCTTCCTCTAGTCATCGTGAGCTTTGGGCAGTCTAAATTATACCGAAGGTAAAGACGTTATAGTTGTCTATAGTTCTATGTAAATAGATATTTATTAATTTTTCTTTTTTAAAAAGTCAGCATTGCTTCTGTGCCCAATTGCTACAACAGCCTTCCCTGGTGCCATCCATTAAAAGTTGGGTGACCTGTCCCTTTCAAAAGCTGCTTTCCTGTAAATGTGTATAGTTTTCCATGCTTAACTTTAAACAATGGCAGCATAAACCTGTTTTTGTTGAAATAGGAACATGTTGACCCTGGATGTTTTTATCTTAATAGATGATCAAATGTAATCCATCTCTTTCCTCTGCCTGTTGGAAATAGCTTCAGAAGCAGCCCTCTTTTTGATTACTAGTATAGTTAATAAAATGTTGAGATAAAGTGAAGGCCTCACCTACCGGTTAACATTTCATATAATTCATGCTAGAATTACAGTCATTTATTTTTTCTCAGGTGAAAACAAGAAATATTGGTTAGACTTTTTCCTCTAATATTTGCTTTGGTGTGGCTGACTGCTCCCGCTTTCCCATTTTTCAGTTGTTAAGTAGAACAGGTTGCACCAGAGAGGTGAAGCCTGAGGAGGTAGTCCTTTTAGAAAGGAGTTGCTCCTGCCAAGGGTAGGCATACTGTACAGTAGTGGTTTTCTCCCAACTTCAAGATTCCAACAGGCAGAAGAGGGATTTACTGACATGTGGTCAGTAAATTAAGATTTGCTGTGGAATCTGGAAAAGAAAGAACTGGGAAAGCCCCATTGCTGAGACTGAGCAGTCTTTCTCAGTCTCAGCAATTTTAAGAGGTGTGGACTTCTATTCCCACAATTCCCCAGCCAGTTGCTGGGAGTTGAAGTTCACACCTCTTAAATTGCTGAGACTGAGAAACACTGCTCCAGGACAGTGTTGAAACAGAATGTTTCAATGCAGTAGTGACTGTGGTAGATCCTTCTAGCCGTGAGAGAGCACCAGTTTTGAAAACCCTTCTTTGACTGAATCATCAATACTGCCAATATCCAGCCAAATCAGTTTTGTTCCTTAGAGGTTTAGTTGAAGGTGCCATTTATGATTATGGTCCCTACTTTTAGAATGGGTACAGATTTATGGATTTTTAATAGCATTTTTTTTTAAAGTTTAATTGACTACTTGTTTTAATTTTTAATTGTGTTAACTATTTTGATGACTACCTGAAAATGAGAGGAATTTTAAAATATGGGAGCTATTTTATATGATAAAGTGTAGTAGTTGTATCTGTGTAAAGGATAATTATCACTACAATCTGTTTTTTTTTATATTTGTGCACATATATAAACATTATTGTGTACCTATTTCATCATGGAACTAAATCATGCCATAGAAAACCTCTTTAAGTGATTTTTACATTGTTAACTTTTACATTTTTCCAGTTCTTTTTGGTATTTATTTTATTGCTTCAATAAGACAAATGATTACTTCAAGCTGTTTGGGTAATTTTTGTCCTTACTTTGTCTTTTTTTCCCTTTTATCTTAGTGAAGATTATGGGAAAACTTTCACAGATATTACAGACCTCATTAACAACACTTTCATCAGAACAGAATTTGGAATGGCTATTGGGCCAGAGAATTCAGGGAAGGTAGGAACAATTAGTTATTACTGTGCAGAGTAGGCTGTTTGTTAGCCCTATACTTTGTGATAAAATTGGAAGTCTTGAGATGAAGGGTCTAAAATGGCTGCATTTTAATAATTTAGCTTAGTATTGGAGAATAGATTTAAGATGGTACCTGAGTTGTTAACATGGCTGGAACTATTTAAGTTTATTACTTAAGTGGATTTAAGTTTATTACTAGTTTTCCAGTGGTTGCTACTTGTCAAGGCATTCTAGGGCAGTGGTGCAAAAAACTGACAAGGTTCACCTCTGGCATATGACCATCTACTGAATAGCAATAGCAATAGCACTTAGATTTATATACCGCTTCACAGTGCTTTACAGCCCTCTCTAAGTGGTTTACAGAGTCAGCATATTGCCTCCAACAATCTGGATCCTCATGGAATCGAACTCCTAGCAATGAGCAGAGTTAGCCGGCAATACTGCATTTTAATCACTGCTCCACCATGGCTTCATGAGCCTAATGAATAGGTCCAAAAATATTGACTTTTTCTTGGATTTTAAAAGGTCAAAGGAAGGTTTGGATTCCTACTTATTACTTTCCAAAAATCTGGGGTGCCCTTGACCTGAAGAAAATTGGGCAGCTCTGCAATGCAACCTCACAACCTTACTTGTTAGAGCAGGCTAGTATCATCTAATTCTTCTTTCCCCTTCTTGCTGCATATTGTCTTAAATAAACTGTATAGGACTTGTCTGTCATTAGTGGGGAGATAAGGTTATGGTTGTGGTTTCTCTAACTTGTACTGAATTTTAAATTACTGCCATTAGTTTGCTTCCCGAACTAAATAAATGTTTTTTTCTCCCAACATAATTTCATCCTACATTATTGAGGCTGTCCATGGATATAATATGGATAAGATTTTTCTTTCCCTGACATTTCTATCAGAGGGATAAGCAGGAATAGTTTAATTCTTTAGAGATTTCCTTAATGGGTTTCATAAAATCATTTGTGGCATAGCAAAGCAGTTCCATTTGTCATCACAAAAGCCATAAACCCAGTGTCTTGCATTAGAATTTCTAATGCTACTTATGCTTACTTTTTTTTTTCAGGGACTTATTTTGTCCTTTTAAAAACTATTCTAAATCTGGATTCAGACATTCTAGTTTCAACACACGATAAACTGGCAGTGTGGATGAGCTCCTGTGTGAACATTTGGGAGATGATTCTCATCTTTACTTTTCTAGGTCATACTGACTGGGGATAGATCTGGATCACACCATAGTGGAAGAATCTTCCGATCATCTGATTTTGCGAAGAATTTTGTACTAACAGACCTTCCTTTCCATCCTTTAACTCAAATAATTTATCACCCTCAGAATTCTGATTTGTTATTGACCCTCAGTACTGAGGTAAGATTTGGAGAAAGGGGATGGAGATTTCTTCATTGGTGTGGCAATTGAAATTGTGATTTTGTGATCTAATATTTTGGGGGGATGATTTTGAATGACATAGTCACAATTTCTATTTAGAAAAATATATGTTTTCTAGATTTACAGATGATTATTCAGATATTAGGACAGCATTGAATTAGGATAGCACTGAAAATTGTGATTGTGACCTGTCCTCAGAGTTCTGACCATCTTTGCATTTATATTATTGCAATCTGGCCATTTGCTAACTGGCTTGCATGTTTGACCCCGTGGTCACATGATTGTAATTTGCAACCTTTCCTGATAATTTCTTCCGAAGGTTAGTGGGGAAACCAACAGGGAAAGTTACAAATCGCTGGGTAATTCTGCAGAGATTGCTGTCACTAAGTGATGTGATCATGTTTTACATCTGTATTGAAATGTAGGTACCAACTGCTGTTGGAAGTCAAGGGCTACCTATATTTATATTCTGCTTTTTCTTATGGAGGTCAAGGAAGTTCATATAAAGGTTTTTCTTCATTTTGCCTTTATAATATCAGTTCCATGAGGAAGGTGGGGCTAAAAAATAGTGATTGGTCTAGATCAAACTTGGACATTTTATGACCCGTGGGCCACATCTGGTCTATGGGCAGTCCCAGTCTGGCCTGTGTTATCAGCAGTGTCAGCAGCAGGGCTGCGGTGTCAGCAGCATCGGCATCAGTGTGTTGATGGGGAGGGGGCAGTGTGTCAGTGCAGTGTTGGCAGCCTTGGCATCAGGGTGTCAACAATGAGGGATTGAGCAGCGATGGCAGGGCCCTTCCAGAGCAAACCAAGTTTCTCATGTGGCTCCTTTGGAAAATGAATTGCCCACTCTTGGCTAGATGAACAAGTCCTTTTCTTTGAGGATTGTAAAACATTATACATTTGATTAAAGTATGATTGAAGTTCTTTAGCCAATTTAAATTGATAGGCTTATATTACATAAGCTTTGGTTGGTCCAGAATAATAGGGCCCTATTTGGGAAGGGCTGGTTTTTCAAGAGTATATAAATTCTTTTTATTTCTAGAGTTTAACTAGTTTTTGGGCACATATCAAAGTGCTGGTTCTGGACTTTCAATGGTTTAACCTATTAAGTCCAGGATGTTAAAAGAACATTTTCAACAGGCTATTCTTTATGTTCTTTATGTTCAACAAATTTGACCTTTACTCTGAGGCCATGTACTTTGCCTGCTAAGAGAGGCCTGTCTTTCCTCCTACTGAAATTCAGTTGCTATTGCAGATAATGTTGCTCTTCTCAATCTTACATTTGGCCTAGTGAGTTATTTTTCTTACTATAAAATGATTTTTAAGTGTTTCCTTTTGTTTTGCTTTCTCTTAATCTTCATTGTTTTACATCAGCAATTTTAAATAAATTAGGTTACAGATTAATCTGTACACTATAAACATAAACATGTATAACTTTACTATGGACTTTTTGTTTTGTTAAATGTCAATCACTTGAATATGATGAACCAATAATAAGCAACTCTTTCTAAATGTTCCAGGGTAGCTTGTGGATATCAAAGACATTTGGTGAGAAATGGAAAGAAATTCACAAAGACGTTTGCTTGGCCAAATGGTAAATTTCTTAATGAATGCTATCCAGGGAGAACTGATGGTTTAATGTACTGTATATTAATGTAGCATAAATGTATATTGAAGGTTTAATGTATATTAAAATAATTTAAGTGTACATTAAAGGTGCTACACCTGATAGTTTGTAAAAACATGAAGAAAGCTGTTTAGAACAAGGCATTTAAAGACTTTATTTACTATTACAATTGTAGCATATGCCATTTCTGAAAAATAACTCACTCTTGTTTGTATGAGTTTTTTTTTACATTATTTCAATATTTTGTGTACATAGCAACAGCTCTCTATAAAGAGCCAATTTTGTAACTCTTAAATTCAAATGCATTGCTTTTGCTAATTTTCATCTTGAGTATACCAGGGTAATTTAGTGAGTAGATATAAAATAGCTGGGGAGATGACCACAGGCTGTCATAGGAAAACCAGATTTGGAGCTAACATTTCCAAATGAAAGTATATTACATAAATGAGAAAAACATTTGTATAAGACCTTGGGAAGTTGCTGCTTATTAGCATAGTGATAAACCAATGGTCTAATTTATATAGAAGTGAATTCCCTATTACAGTGTGACTGTTACTTTCAGTGATGCGTATCTGTAGATTTCATACAATCCTAATGCTTCTTCTGCCCCTAATGCTTCTTCTGCCTCTTAACTTTCAAAAATCTTAGCTTGGCTTACTAGTTAGATACAGTTTGTGACAACTCATCTCTGTATACATGAAGTTGCCCAAACTGATATCCTCCAGCTATCTTGAACTTCACCCCTCATAATTCTCCAGTCAATTTATTGAAAATTAAGAGAACTGAAATGTCCATATTTTTGGGTTACATTACAGCATTCCTGAAACTGAATTTCAAAACAGCTGGAAAACTTGCTCTATACCGAAACCAAAATAATACTTTCACACAATTCTGATTTTTGATTTAGTGGTTTGTATGTATTTAACTACACAAAGTGTTATCACCTATCCCAGTGTAGTAAGAATCTGGTTAATTGTAGCTTATTTAATAAACCATAGTGGAGCCATAATTTAACATGATATATGAAGTCATCCCACAGAACTGAAGTCTCAATTGTTTAGTTAGCCTTCTACCATTACACTAATTATATTCTCTTGATCTGTCCTAGGGGTTCTGGTGGAACCATCTTCTTTACTACCTACCTGAATGGCTCTTGTAGTAAGTAACCCTTAGTATAATAAACTATTTCAGTTTAGAGCTTTTTTTGCAGATTTTATCAATTCTTTTCTTTGAGTCCACAGCCTCAAGAAGTCTTGACCATAGCTTATTCATCTGCAGTTATTTTAATGTGGGAAAATCATATTCTGTCTATATCTATATATTTGTTTATCAAGGTTTGGAATCTTTTCCCTGGGAATCCCCCTATAGAAAAGTGTAGTTATAAAAAGTCACTGTCTTGTGACTAAACATTATGGGAAGTGTCAAAACCTCAGCTTGCTTGCTAATGCTTAGGAGTTACAGTAGTTCCATTTTTCCCCCTCCTTTCTCTCTTTCTTTCTGCTGCTGATGCATTTCCAATTCACAGAACTTTTGCCTAGTAAATAGGTATTTACTGCCTTTATATGGCATGAAATTAACTTTTGATTATGATATTGAGGGACGTTTCAGAGGAGAGGGATTTGACATATGACCCTTGATTTTCACATATCCCCTTTTCCAAACTACTTATGAATAACACCTAAAGTTTATAACTATGAAGATAAGAACAATTATAAATCTCACTAGCCATGTTGAAAAAAAAATACACCACTATTGTATTACTGAAACCATAATCAAGGCAGCAATAATTAATTTTTCCTACTTTCCAGTGACATATTGCATGAAATGTAACTTCTAGGACAGAGGAAATTTAAGTAGTTAATTTTTTTAAACTAAAAGATGTAGAATTGAGCCTGTTCATGAGTGATGGCGAACAATAAAAGACTCTTTTTATTACAATTAGATATAAAAATGCTGCTTATGGAAACCTATATATAACATAACCATAAATATGAATCAACTAGGTTGCTGATGTAAAGAGGTCTTCACGTATTGAATCTGTTTTTTGAGGTAGTTTGGTTTTCCACCCTGATGTTTATGTGGATGTCTGCAAAATGGAGGTCTATGTATATAAATTCTTTCTTCAGATGCTCATATTCACTATGCAGGCTGGGTTCCTGCACAAGGTTGTAATGAGATTAGCTGTTTCTTTAGCATGTCATGGAGGGAGCATGTCTGTTTCTAAATAGAGTGATCTGAATGCATCTATTTCTCTTCTGAAGAAAATGATATCGGATTATTGGAGTTAAAGAAAACTAAAGACTTTGGGAAGACATTCAAGACTATAGGAAACAACATTTACTCCTTTGGCCTAGGTGGTCGTTTTCTCTTTGCATCCGTGATGATAGAAAAAGTAAGAAAACTATTCTTGGGCTTCTTTTGTATTTCTGTAGACTTGATGCTCTTAGTTCACATCAGGCTCTTTTTTCTTTCCTCTAATGCAATGTTCCTAAACTGTTAGCCAATGAGTTATTGCAAGAAGTCCACAACAAATAAGGTAAACAACAAACAAACAAACAAAAAACTATTCACAGTTCTTCCTCTGGTGCAGATGCTGATGGAAAAGTACTTTTCTAGTTGGTGTGAATGGAAAGGAGACAAATACTCGACTGGCCTAAGAGAAAGATTGCAGAAATAACACCAGTCAATTTGGTCTGGTTCTTCCTCTTTCCTGGCCTGCGTCAGTATTTTTGTTCCTCCCAAGATATACAATATCCATGAGTTTTCCCACTACAGCCCAAGTATCATGCTTGGCTATGAGATCTGTAGATGTTGCTAGATGTTTTCACCTTATAACTAGTGCCACTGTTCTTTATTGTCTGTAGACTGCTCTGCCTCACACAGCTACCCTGTTATCTACCAGATCTTCCTACCTATCTGTTGCAGGTCCTTTTATATATATTTCTCCATCCATATATTTTGGCACCCTTCAGCCTCAACCTCTAAGGCAAGGGTGTCAAACTCGCAATGTCATGTGATGTGTCGCGATGTATCGCAGCTTTTTTTCCATTGCCAGCAATGGGGCGGACATGGTTTCGGCATGACGCAGTTTGACACCCCTACTCTAAGGCCCCACCAATGGCTGCTGCCACCCATTTCAGATTCAGGAAGCAAAGGCTATTCTACAGAAGTTGAGAAGATACTCTCAGTGCACACATATCATTTCCATCAGCAATAATTCCAGCATCCCCATTGCCAAAAGCTCCTTTGTCCATGTAGTGGCCACCACCAAGCACACACTGGTGCTTACTTGTCTGAATTGACTGGCCTTGAGGCCCAATTGAGCCCCAGAGGCCTTTAGCTTTACTTTGCCTGCCTCACTGTTTGCTATATTTTCTCAAAAGCAAGGCTGCTCTAATGTGTAAGTTCTTTGAAAGTTTGTCATTGCTTAATAAACAGCAACATTTAAAAAAAAAAATGTTATAAAAACAATATATCCTCGTAAACATTTTCTAGTTGTTTCATATTATGATCAGCTTTCTCATAAATGAATATGGATGTTTTTAGAGAAAAAAATATTTTTGTTTTATCTAGACTAATACAAGAAGAATCCATGTGTCACTAGATGAAGGTGAAACATGGAACATGGCTCAACTTCCTTCAGTTGGACAAGAACAATTTTACTCTATTTTGGCAGCAAATGATGACATGGTGTTTATGCATGTAGATGAACCTGGAGGTGAGAGGAATACAAAATGGGTGATGTATCATTCAGTATATCCAAATTTTGCTTTGATTATGCTTACATAATTTCACTTTAAAAGAAAAATGGTTCTCTAAATTGTTATCATTACCTAGGGACAAAGATTTTACCTGAGACAAAAATGTTTGAATTGCACATTTAGTAAATAGATTTCTGGCAGACTTACAAATTGTTGTTTTGAAAATCTGTTCTCAGTGTCGGTATAATGTATATAAACATGTGGACTTCTTGACAATTTTCTTTTCCATGCTAATTTAAACAAATACGTTGTATGAACATGTTTTTACTTAGGTAAAACTTTATCTGGTTCTTCATTTAGTGTACTATTACTGCAATAGGTTTTAGGCTATTGCAGTAGGTTTTAGGCTATTGCAGTAGGTTTTAGGCTATTGCAGTAGGTTTTAGGCTATTGCAGTAGGTTTTAGGCTATTGCAGTAGGTTTTAGGCTATTACTGCAGTAGGTTTTAGGCTATTGCAGTCACTCATGCCCTCGTCACCTCCCGCCTGGACTACTGTAATGCTCTATACATGGGGCTCCCCATGAGGAGCATCCGGAGGCTTCAGCTGGTCCAGAATGCGGCCGCGCGGGCGGTGTTGGGAGGGACGCGTCGCTCCCACGTAACACCGCTGCTGCGCGAGCTGCACTGGTTACCAGTGGCCTTCCGGGTACGCTT